TAAATGCAAGTATGTACAAAACGCATGCTGATTACCAATTGCATATAAAATATGGTGTTTGCCTTTTTGGTAACTTAAACTCGTACAATAAAACATACACACACTTTGCCCTATAGTGAATGTTTTAAAACCCCCACATCTTGAGTTGCAGCCATGAGATAATCTCTTCCCCTCAATATACTTTGCTGTTTTCTATTTGATCTTGCAAATGACGTGGGTCTTTAAATTATAAAAATTTGAAATGAAACTCTAACGATAAACAAGAATAAAAGTCCATGACAATGATGAGACATTAAAAAGAATGACATTATATACATGTAATAGTTTGTCTGAACAAATGTGTGTGAACAGAAATGAGAACCCTTGATATTAAGCCACCTAACTATACCCAGTGTCAATTGGTGGTTTCCTTAAGTACCCCCCCCCCCCCACCCATATACTGTTTTTCTAGAGGAAGTGGAAATTTGGACTGTTATGGACTGGTAATTTGGACTGGTAATAGCAGAGATTACAGTTTCAATGAAACACTGACAAAGTGTTAGTGCTTCAATAAAGAAACCACAATGGCTGTGTTTGAACTCTGCTCCTGGCGATGACGGTCTGACATATTGCTTATTCACCCATCTTAAACATGTCAGTTATTGGATTTTACTAGTTAGATCATAAATATTCATAAGTTGATCGTTATGCTGATACTGTGTATAGGGGGTACTCCTGCCCCAATTTTAGTATGAAAATTGACTACAAATCCCGAAAAGTCAATGCCAAGTGTTCTCCATTCACACATTGCATAACATAAGTTACTAAAGTTGCATAGCATTCGCCATTTGAAAGCAGGCATATGATCACTATTTACAGTAACTATGTCATCGAGTAAATGGGTAAACAGTATTGTAGTCTTCCAAAGATGGTACTTATCACATTTCCGGCTTTACTGCTCACATTCAAATTTTGACTAATTTTGATTACAAATACATAATTTGCTTTTTCATAAATAGTTTTCATTTTAGAATAACAAACTTGTTTGACAAGGCATGAGATCACACCTTATATCAGATCAGAGACAGTGCAAATACTTAATTCCATAAGGCAGTAATGAAATATCGATGATTAGCTCTTTTAAAACTGTTCTAATACTTATTTATATCATGTCCCCCTAACTCATTGGGTATTCTACTTTATATATTATGTCCCCCTAACTCATTGGGTATTCTACTTTATATTATGTCCCCTAACTCGTTGGGTATTCGACTTTATATCATTCCCCCTAACTCATTGGGTATTCTACTTTATATATTATGTCCCCCTAACTCATTGGGTATTCTACTTTATATTATGTCTCCTCAAAGGCATTTTCGAAGCACTGTGGGCAGAGTAATGGGATGTGGCTATTGAAATGGAAAGTGCTAACTAGATATAAGACTATACAAGTAAATGCAGAAATCCTGTTTGGAAATAGATAAAGGGTAGTGTAATATTGACAAGAGTTTATTCACAAGGGACTTCTACTGTTTCTTCTCTCATGCTCAAGTAATTATTACATTTTTTACATACAATCTGTGCTATGACAATATTCATAGTTGTAAATTGCGAAAAATGGATGGGTTTTTGACCTTGTAACAGTGCAATATGAAGATTTACTAGATCTCTCATCAGAAGTGTTGTCTGTATGCTGCTTT